CTGTGAGAGTCGGAGGGAGAGGGACGAGCCAAAACCTCACCTATCACTGCCTCATAGCAGCACTCGCTGGCATCACACGGATGCTGCGAGTGGCTCGAGGAGGCAGGACGGCCCGGAGGTTGTAGACAACTGAACAAATCGTCCCAGAGCTCCCACCTTTATACTCTAAACTTCAAAGGCCTGGGGGGCGTCACGTCGCGTCGCGCAGCCAATCACGTGCCTACCTTTCGATTTACAACTGATGCCCCGCCCTCACCTGGAGCGTCCGTCATGCCCCCACCCATTGTCCCTTGCTCAGGGTTCCTTGCTCAGGGTGCCTTGCTCAGGGTGCATAATATTCCACCCTCCGTCCTCCCTTCAATGTTGTGTGTAACTCATTGCGGTTGGCCCAGGGAACCTTCCTGCACCCATACAATGTTAAGCCAATTTAGGGGCACTGCAACGTAACCTGTCCTGTGGGGGCGCCAATCTCCTGGCACCGGGAAACCGTAGGACTCTCCCCCTAGGGGCCCTTCGGATTAAAACCCGATGTGCCAGGCAACCCCCCCGCCAGGACACTACGTGGGTGCGCTGCGTGCGGGTGTGTGTTTAGTGCGGGGGGCGGGAGGGAGTCGCGGCGCTTGCGGAGTTGCTCCACGGTGGTGGCACCACACAACACTTGCCACCATCCTTCAAACCCATTGGTGAAAAAGAGCAACATTTTTGTTTACATTATATGTTAATGCGAGAGCCGGGGGCTTATGGTACCCCGGAGTCCTGCCATATGGCTCAATTAGCCATACATTATTATCATTAACTATTAAAAATAAGATATCGATGTGTGGCAATGTGAAAGCAGCACACCCAACTACCCTTTTCTCCCCATTGCTGTATTTGAGTATATAGGGAGTACATGACTAAGAGTTCAACCCTGTGGTTCTATGTGTGTATTAGCACATTGATGTCTGTGTATATATGTGTCTGTGCAAGGCTGGGGAGAGGTAGTGCAACGGTTAGCGAGTTGCGCTACAAACCTGGCGACCCGGTTTCAATTCCTGCTCACGACCAACTCCAGTGACGATTATCTGAACTGATAATGAGCCTCCTCTAGGTCGACTCAGCCTCAAATGAGTACCTTTTGTGATGTGTAAACATCACCACTGGGTAAACAAAGGCGGCTGGGCGTGGTGTTGGACACCCACCCCCACGTGTGCCTTCCCGACCTTCATCGGTGCTCGCTAACAGCACTTGCCCCAACGGTCTTTTATGGCTATACGGGATATCTTTGCAATACATAACTGTCAAAAATGATGGAGGCCTTGGACGTGGCCCACTGGTAATTTTACTGATAAGGTTGAGGTAATGATCCACAGTATGTGTGTGGGCACACTCGTGTGTATGTGTTTGTTTTTTCAGTTTCAGTTTCATTTATTTGGAATAACCCTGTGAGCCATTCGGCTCTTGATTCGGGTGCAACCGCAACAAACAATACAATTACAAAATACATTTATAATTTACTGTACACAAATTGAGACATCCCCTAAAAAACAACAAAATTTTCCAGAAAAAGTACTATTTGTTTATGCTGCGTACTAAACTGTGCAAAGAAATCCCATTTTGATGCTAGATCACAATAACAATCATAATACAATTTAGATTAAAATTTTAAGTCTAACTCTATACTACATCAAAAAATCTGGTTAAACTAAACCTTTCTAGAAATTACAAAAATAATGCTATAAAAACAATCTAACAGTGATCATAAGAAATGTGATTGAAAGTTAATAGCGACATACATAACATATATTACTAAACCTAGCATCCTTCGCTAGCTGCATGAGTCAATCCATATTAGCAGGAGTAACAATAGTAGAAGCAGCATACTATAATCAAAATACATCATAATTTCTCTTATTGGTCATCTATAAATATATATTTGATTTCAGGCCACTGGATAGCAGTGGCAGCTAGGGTTGTACGACTCCTCTAGAGCAGGTTTGAGTGATGGTTTGTCTTTGTGTGTTCGTTCATGCACAGATTACGTAAGTTTGGTCAAGGCCAAACAATTGACTTGTGTTATCTAACCGATGGCTGGTGAGCCATGTATTCCCAATACGACTTCACAGCATTAAATCAGATGTCTCAGGAAAGCAGTATGTTGCTGTGTGGGACAATGGTGGGAGTGAGGGGGTTGGTAGTACATTTTGTTGGGGTCAAGGGATGGGAATGTGGGCCACGTGAACGATCATGTAGCTCTTGCTTTAAACATGATATTGACCATCTTAGTTCACCTTTAATATATTCTTGGAGGCCATTCTTTCGTATTATTGCATATTTTTATCGTCGATAACGGCCCGGAGGGAGAGCAGAGTCAATGGGGCTTTGTGAGATTTAAGGTCACATAGGGGTTAGAGGAGAGGAGCAAATTAGGCCTCCAGAGAAGGACCCATTAATATTAAAAAAAGTTATAACACACGTGGGTGGATGTGTGGCCAGTTTGGATATGACACAGCAGGTCAAGGCAGTGGACCACTGATCTGAGATAGAGGTGGGCTTCTTCATGCCAATCATACAGCAGAAAAAGGTGAGATATAGTTGGCAATAGTCTGGAACAGGGGTGGGCAAATTGTTTCGTTCGCGGGCCACAATGGGTTCTAAAATTTGACAGAGGGGCCGGGCCAGGAACAGATGGATGGAGTGTTTGTGTGAACTAATATAAATGACATGTAAAAATCATTACATGAAAGGATTTGGCCTTTAACAGGCAGCAAAGCATGTATTTGCAAGGCAATTTAACAATTTGCACGAACTTGAATACAAAAACATGTCGTAACTCCCGGTCAAAGTGCGCTATCTAATGGAGAAATGGGGGCATTACAGGAGAAAGGTAAAATTTAAATTCATAATAATATTTGGACAAGTTCGGCGGACCGGATTAAAAAGCCCAACAGGCCGTATAGGGCCCGGGGGCCGTACTTTGCCCATGTCTGGTCTGGAACAATTAACCCCCCCCTTCCCCCCAATCTCCACTGCCATCATTGATTATATTTTTGTGATTCATGGTTCTAATCTGATTTAATAATTAAACAAATTGGGAACATTGCGGTGCATATTTTGTGCACATATACTTAATGTCTTTGTTGGCTACATGTATTTTTTTTAAACGTGATATACTAGGCATGTAATGGCAGTGGTGGCAGACAAAAACATGATCCCAGGTAGATGTCCCTCGACAATTATCGATCGATCAAACTGCCCCCCCCGTCCATTCCCCCCCGCCCCTGTACCTCTACCCCTCGACTGAAACATCTGCCTCCTTCACAAGAGGTATATGGATAGGTGGTTGTATTGTCAGCCACAAAAGAGCCATTAGAGTTACAAAATGCCTTGTGTATTTTATTGCTATCGAATTTACAGCCAATTATTTATCAGTTGCCCGGCCAGCCTATGGATGACAGAGAAATCTGGTCTGCAGCGATACCACTCTCGCTGCCTCATCACTTTCCACCCTCAATATACCGTAACTCCTTCTTGTACTACCCAATATGGGCAATGGAATTGTGCACTGATATTGTGTTATGATAGTCAAATATTTATCAAAGTTGGCACCACATCATACTCATAGATACACATGTTCAAACAACATGGGCCAATCGTCTGAAACACGTGTTTAAACGTGTTTTTGCCGAAGCTCAAAAGTACAATTAATTTTTTACGAGATGTAACAATAAAAGTGGCACGCAGGATGTAAAGTGAAAGTGATGGGCATACAAGATCATTCAGTGGGTCCCATGAGGCTGCTTTTATGACGACATGTTTAAGTAATGCAGCCTGGTGAGAGGAGAAGGGGAAACATGGATGGCATTTTGGTCATATTGTACAACTATAGCCTGTCAACAGGGGAACCACCGTGTGGTCAGATATTTTTAGAACCAACCAAAAAGCTCAAGCTCAAGAGCGCTTCTTTCACAGTATCCCACAACTTGACTTCAGGGCTTTCTCTTATTACACAGTGAAGACATCCTGCAGTTTCATCATTGTCACCATCTGCACTTAGGTCTTCCCCTCGGTCAGTGACGTGTGCGTGTGCCACTCCAAATACCTGTCTCAATAACCTGGTATCTTCTATCCTGCACTATGTGTCCGACCCCTTGGACCTATATGTTGTCAGTGTTTTCTAGCCATGTTTACTTCGTATTTTAGAAGCTGCTTATCCCTACCTTTCCATGTCATTTAGAATATTATCCACATACACCTATGTTCTGTTAACAATTACAATTCAAAGGAAATGTGCGTCCATTGTTAAAGAGCCAACTGTAGAACCAAATAAAGTGCATTATGAGCTTTCGGTTTATACAATATACAAACCCAAACTGCATGTTTTTTTTTATTCCTGCAGCAGATTTGAACAATGCTCGTGTTACTTTTAACATCTGAAATAAATGCATCCAACATTCATTTTAGGTTTCATGTTTGTTCATTCATTTATGAGTTTATTTAGCATGCAAGTCATGTTGTTGCCGTAGGTCACAGCTCAACAAAGGCATCATGGGTACAAAAACAATATGCAGTATGGTGTATATATTTAAACGTGTCTTTTTGAATAAGAGATTTTTTGTTTGTTTTGAATTACTTTGGCACTGTGATGTAAGTGCAGTAGATATGCATGAAGTATGAGCATCGAAATTAAATGTAGTTTATTATAAAAAATTCGGTTAGTCCCTATGATCACTGTTACGTTGCAATTATGGCTTTATTTTTTGGTGATTTCGAAAACGTTTTTTGGTTTGGACATGTTTGTTTTGTTGTAGTACGGAGTTAGACTGACGCCTTAATCTAAGTTTTCTTGTGGTTGTTGTTGTTTGACTTGCATCCCACTGGGATTTTTTGCACACAGCATTTGTGTACGGTGCTTTTTTCAGGAATATTTTGCTGTTTTTTTCATGGATTTTCTGTTTGCACAGTCACATAGTCACTTGAAGATGTTTTCTTGTTCGTGTTTTTGTTTTTTTGTTTATTGTGGTTGCACCCGATTCAAGAGCCGAATGGCTCACAGAGCTATACAAAAATATATAAACTGAAACTGAAACAGTTCAGTGACTTCTTAGTGATGAGAAGGCTGATCTAGCTTGACAAAGATCGTTGACAAAATATTACTTGTTTGCACCATTGTATAGTTGTGGTACATGGTGCATCATGTAATATAATGCATATTTGGTGACCATTAATGTAAAATCAATACTGGATTCTTCATTATCATCAGCCATGTTCAATCCACTGCCGGATCAAGGTCTCGTCAAACTGCCACCAACCCTCACAGCATCTGCACATTGATTTCATCGCTCCATCTCCTTGGTGGGCATTATCTTGTCCAGTCCTTTGCTGCCAATATCGTATTATTCTTGACCATCAGCCATCATCCCTTCTAGCCATGTGTTCTACCCAAGCCCCCTCACTTTTCTTAATAGATTCAATAATCTCATTAATATGAAGATGTTCTCTTATCCATGTATTCCACTGCTGTCTCTTAAGGTAATTTTTAAAACCGTACGTAATCAAATCGTTATGCAACAGCAGCTCTTGATACTTAATGCAACAGCAGCTCTGGATACGTAATATATCACATATCCTCTCTATTCTCCCACTTGCTATCTTCTCTGACTGTTTGGAACAACTTCAGGTTTCTGTACTTTTGGTTTTCTTCTTGGATTAAGATCACTTTCTTTTGCGCCAGGTGTAGGTGGATTTGTAAAGTTAAATGATTATTTATATTTTTATTTGCCCACATCACATCAGAGGATCTCGAAAGATAATCAGGCTGTGCCTGGATAGTGGTATGAGCTGCAGAGTACACTGTACTGTGCTGCTGACAGCTGTGCTCCCATGTATTTGCTCTCTGCGTTCACAACCTGCAGTGACCAGCACGGTGAAGTATGATCAAATAACCCCAGGGTCTGTATGGCGCCTAGAGTCAGTGGATTGACAAAGGGCTGTTCAGGTACATTCTGTTGTAGTTGGCCTGTAACCTCCCACTGCTGGACAAAGGCCTCTCCAAATTCACTCCATTCCTTTCTTTCCTGGGTTGTTCATGCCCAGCGGTGGCCTCCGAACTCTTTGAGTTTCTTTCTCCATCTCTTCTGCTGTCTTCATCTGCTTCTAATTTTCTCTACAGGTACATACAGTATATTCTTTGTTTTTTCGGTAAAGTCACGTTGAAGGGAAACAACAAAATAATAAAATATATATAAAACAATATTTTGTTGTTTCCCTTCAACGTGACTTTACCGAAAAAACTAAGAATATGAATTACTGCAGTCACGAAAGCTTTAAATCAAAATTTAGGTACATACAGTATTTTAAAAGTTAGCACGTATTTAACCGCTTGGCAAGGAACATGCATGCGTATATTCTCCTTTCCCGGAATCGAAGGAAGCACACTGGATTTAGTAGAGGATTGGGTATTATGGATGACCATGGAGGAATCTGTGATTGGAAGCGGTTGTACAGTAGTTAGTGCTATGAAACCGAGGACCTTAGTTTGATTTCCCGCCATAGCTAACATCACTGGCAGGCAATATCAGAAACATTCCTACCCTCCAATCTGACAATTGTGAAGTATAGTAAAAAGAAAAAAAACATTACCAACATAGCATCCACGGTGGTGTGTAGCATATTATCGAAAAGGCTCGATTATTGCAACTCACTATTCTACGGGACGCCTGGCAAAAATAAGCTGCGTGTACAAAATTATTTGGTACGTGCCGTCGGTTGCCGAATGAATACATAGTAAGGTCACACTCATTACACACAAATTAACGACAAAACCTTGCTGATCTCAAGGAGCATAAACCATTACGCAAACTTCGGTCAACAAAGACAGTCACTGCAGAGGTGCTTCTATGGCCATCTGAAATGTTCTTCCTTCTGATATTAGGAAGCCACTAGATCTATGTACTTTGAAATCTGGATTAAACACTGATTTCTTGAGAACTGCTGTTTGTGTTTAGCTTGTTGTACTTCCCCCGCACCTCGGATTAGCACGGTTGGCTACATACGGTGCGGAAGAAGTTAAACATACATACATTGGTGAATTGGGAATAGCTAGAGGACTCTGGGAGCAGATGCCACGGACAGTGATCTGTGTGTGCAATGCCTCCGCGTGACGTATTCTCCTTAGGCCTCATGTACTTACCTTGCTTAACGAAGCAGCCAAGCCGTAATTATGCCCTCACTCACCTGTCGCCTGACACTCTGCGCGTCTTGTAGCACAAATTAATTGCATACTCAATGGATAGTGTGAATGGCTTAGGGGTGAGGGGGGGGGGGGGAGTAACCTGCCACTGTGTTAGGGATGGGAGAAAGGTTGAGTGGGGGGCTATTTGTCCTGTTTTCCCACAGCCCCTCACCTGCTATACGGTCGTCAGTCACCTGCCAAACAAGCTCACTGGCATGGGATTTAAGAGATTCCCATCAGCCCACAAGTCCGCTGTTCATCTGTTATAGCGAGCAGTGTTTACAGTTACACTTTGACTTAACGTGAACTAAGTTTGAGAAGAGCTCTTGACTTGTGGATTAGAGCACGGGGAGGGTGGCATTGGGAGGACATTGTGCTGGCAGTGCGAAGGTGGCGGTTTACAGGTGGTTGACTGAGCGAGAGAGTGGGGCTCTAGTGCAACATTGATCATCCCGCTCATCGATCAGTAGCGTTTGCATAGCGTTGCACCGCACTTGGGAATAGCATGCGATGATACACACCGGCTGCCTTCCCCTCCTTGCTAATTCCGAACCCTCACCACTGCTCCCCACCACCTCGTGAGACTTTGCCAATGCCGTAGAGTGTCCCCTTGCTGTGGTGGGGCTATAAGCCAGCAGTGATGGATGTTACGGACTCCACACGTTGCCCGCTGTAACCTTGAATGCGAGCGACGCCACATCCCCAGCCCAAGCCCCAACCCATGCCCCAGCTATGCCATGAACCGCCACCGCCCCCACCAGCACACCGTGACCACGCTGCTGTCACCGCTCCACAGAGAAACTTGTTATCTCAGCAAATATCACTTCGCAACTCGTGAAAATGATAATTAATTAAATGATTTCATGCCCTGACAGGCGCAATGTGCTTACGTATTCTTAGAAGTGTTGTGTATTTTCTCTTTTGAATGGCAGCACGCTATAATTTGAAATGCCACCCGACAACAGATGTGACTGCTCAGCAGGTATGCGTGCATGAAAGCAATAACTCGATTTGGCTGCTGTAATAGACGGCAAGACAAATATTTGGCAGGAGCAGACATTATATTTCATTGTGAATATCAAGTGGGCACTCTTATGTGATGCTTAAGATAAAAAGGGCAAATGTAAAGGTTTGGTTTCAGTAAAAGGAAGCAATGACTTAATCAGAAAAGATTCAACTTTAAGTGTGTTGGATTGAAAGTGGCAGTTGTTGCTGATGTATGGGTGAGGGAAAGCGATGGTAGTTAGCGTTATTGCCAATTGTTATTTATCCCAAAATTCTTCACTGGGTCCCAAAACATTTTTTTCAAGAGGGTCATGCTGTAAGACGTTTAGTTAATACCATTAATTAGTGTTTTGTATGTACCATGAATTTGGTGAAAACCCATATTTAGGAGTGGTAATTAATTACATGACAATTAACAAAATAATATCTTTGAACAGAATTTGATATCCAGTGGTTTATTTGGGGAGATAAAGCTGTCTCCTCTTGCATTTTTTTTATATATTTAGAATGGTTAATATGAACCTAGTATAACAGTGGTATCACTTAAAAAATGTATCTTGTAATTGAGCACAATTGGCGTGGGTGATATATAGATCGTAGAACAGATGGCATACGTGATTTTGAGTTTGTTAAAGCAGCTTCTGTTTTGGAGCTCCGGCTCTCCTAATTGGAGTAATATTTTGTAAGTAGCCTAATGGAAGATAGGTCAGATTTGCACATAATTTTTTGTTTCTCCAGAACTACTTTCTTCTCAACAATGTTTATTGTCGAAACAATTACAAGTACTGTAGGGTAAAGCTCTACTACACAGCATAGATGCTCAGCAAACAGGCGAACTTTAGATAAAATGGTTTTGAGATGAAAGTGGTGCAAAAATAATCATACGTGCTTTGATCATGCACATGTGTGTGTTTTTTAATTCATCACGTTGAGGCTGGAAATTTTCGCTCATTTTCTTTACGTGGCTGCTTTTAAAAACCATCAGAAATTATTTTAATTAGAATTCCAGATCAAACATCTCAGATCTCATCAGCGAGCAACTGTAGCGCTACTGAATTTACAAGTTCACCTGTTGTGCACATGTGCAGGTGTGTTAGTTTCTAGTGATTGGTGCTCCTGTCTCAGGTGCAAGGTCTTATCAAGAGGGCCACGTGTGTGTTTCTGGTGCTGCATACAACATGATTGAAATCACTATAATTAAAAACGTGTAATGATAATTGGGGGATACAGTACCATGTTTTAACTAATAACCAAATTACTGCCTCGTGCACATCTAAATTTATGCACTATCAAGACATCAACATCTGGTTTGTCATGATGCTATGTTCTCAGTTATCCATGCCATGTCGTAAACCACATGCAATGAGTTAACACCTCCAGTGGCTTTTATAATTACAAGAATATGGTTACTTATCAGAGAGCCTCCGCTTTTCATGGAGGATGTTAATGTTACAATACACTGCAGACAACACTTGGATTTGGCCATGATATGTGATCATGATTTAAAATGTTTAACTTGAACTAGGCAGCAATAACTAAGATCTTAAATGTGATTGTCTATGATGCTCACTCGTGTACTGTACTAGAATCCTGACAATGCAAGTTTAATTCCTCGCCACATAGAACGACATTAGCGTGAATTGAAGAGTGAACCAAGCCTAGGTTTCCCTGAGGTTGACGCAGCCTAAACATTGGTACCTGGTATATGGCCATGAACATGGAGGTCATTAAATTGGTAGCCAAAGGTGAACCATGCATGCATTATGTGGGGCACAATACCACTTTATGATTTATGATAAAATAACAAGTGCTCGATAACAACATGTATGCCCCTAGTCTGTGCATCCGGTTAAATGAAAGAGTTTGCATCATCGTCTTGTTGTTGTGTGGCTCACAGGCCCATGGGGGCAGTGCGTGGCAAGACAGTGCAGGGCGCACGGGGTGCAGGGTCGTGCCGTGTGGTGCGCACATCCCACGGGCCGCGCCATCGTATCCCCTTCTACTGCTGCCACCACCACCACCGCTCTCAACACCGCAACGTGCGACCCATCTACACGGCCCCCCCACAGACGCAGCTGCGTTCGCACGTGCACAGGGCAACCTTGGCACGACACGTCCCTGCCCTGGGACACGGACACGACTGGCAGCACGGGCGAGCCAGGCGAATGTCGCCCCTTGCAGCAGCAGCAAGAGCTGCCGGCCTTTTCCGCCGGAGAGTGTGACCCTGCCGCCGAGCCCGCTGGCTGCGGCCCAGCACCGGGAATGAGCCCAGGCGCCCAGGACGGCGGCCCCCCGGGCGGTGCGTGTGATACACGGCACAGCGGAAATTCCGGCGGTGCTGGCGGCGGCGAAGGTGCCGGCGGCGCACTGCAGAATTCGTGCATCGTGAGCGGCTGGTCGAAATGGGGGGCCTGCGGCGGCGGCGCAGGGTCGGCGTGTGGCCCCGGCGGGACACGCTTGCGTGTCCGTCGCGTGTTGTTTCCGCCGTCGCATGGAGGTGCCGCGTGTGTGGAGCTGTCGGAATCACAGGCATGCACCGTGCCGGCCCCATGCCCTACTTCGGCACCGGGGGACGCTTTTTCCACCAGCCAGTATGAGCTTATTATGTATACACACAAACATTTGTTGTGCGCACGCTTTAATGTGGTTATTTTTCTTCTTGTTGTTGGTGTGTGTGTGCGCGCGTATGTCATACACATCCTTGTATAAAAAGGCCACTTTCGTCTTGCTTTGACTGGCTTTTCTTGATTTGATGTGTTTTGAGTGTCAATGCTGTGGTGTGTTTCTTATGCATGTCTGTGGTAAATGTGTTTCCTTCATTAGATGCCCAGGTGAATATCTCATGAAATAATGGTATTGCACTCTTGGCATCTATTTAAATAGCAAGATTTATTTAGGTAAATTATTACATGAATATGTCAAGACAGTTACAATTTCCTATAAATAAATGTAGCAAAAATGTACAATTCTTAGTTTCTACCACGTGGAAATAATATACATCTCAATGCTTATTTATGTCTCGATAAGGCTAGGGCCGAGTGCCAAACTGCAATCTCAGTTTTAATTGAAAGTCATTGCCTGCTTTGCATACCTCCCTAAATTACAAATGGCTACCTCTTATACCGATTAAATTACATGCATATGCCAAGGACCTGTAAGTGCCTCCAATAATAATTTAAGCAATGGCATATTTGTCATCCTTAGGTTTCATTGGATTACTTGATCATTTAAGAGCCAAACTGTCATATTTAGGATGCTAACAGGTATCAAAATAAGTGTCAATGCTGTGGTGTGTTTCTTATGCATGTCTGTGGTAAATGTGTTTCCTTCATTAGATGCCCAGGTGAATATCTCATGAAATAATGGTATTGCACTCTTGGCATCTATTTAAATAGCAAGATTTATTTAGGTAAATTATTACATGAATATGTCAAGACAGTTACAATTTCCTATAAATAAATGTAGCAAAAATGTACAATTCTTAGTTTCTACCACGTGGAAATAATATACATCTCAATGCTTATTTATGTCTCGATAAGGCTAGGGCCGAGTGCCAAACTGCAATCTCAGTTTTAATTGAAAGTCATTGCCTGCTTTGCATACCTCCCTAAATTACAAATGGCTACCTCTTATACCGATTAAATTACATGCATATGCCAAGGACCTGTAAGTGCCTCCAATAATAATTTAAGCAATGGCATATTTGTCATCCTTAGGTTTCATTGGATTACTTGATCATTTAAGAGCCAAACTGTCATATTTAGGATGCTAACAGGTATCAAAATAATAGGCATGTAAAATGCATAATATTTAATTAAAATAGATTCTTAATTAAAATCGCATTTTAGGTGTCTATGTTCATGTTTTATCTCGGATAATTGAGCAGACAAAACTCAAAAAATAAGATAGAAATATAAGAATACGAATCAGGTACAGCAATACAATTTTCTAAATAAAAAGAGTTGATTCTGAAATTACATCATGAACTCAAATGTGTCGATTTAACGACATTTATATATTTACGCGATCTTACCCAAAATACCTCTATTATGGATCAAATTGTGATAATTCAACAAATGTTTGTGGGGATAAACAATTACATTCTAAAAAAAATGGCACGTGGCAGTCTTTGATGAATTTCCAAATCAGCAGGAAAACCCTTGCATTCCAGCTCATCCGATAGCCTGTATGCCAAAGATATGTATGCTTTTTAACTCTTGGAGAGCTGTGCATTTGTATTCACTAGGTCATATATACATTACAGTACAACGTACCATACATTTTAGTTATAATGTCTAAACGCAATTGCATATTAAGACGCTGCTCATCAGTTACCATAAATATGTATAGTCTGTGTGCTTAAGAGGTGTACACAAAGCCTATCTGGAAAAGTAAAACAACCACAGGGTGTTGGTCATTAAAATAAGCATTTATGGAGTAAGGAAATATTCGTTAGTCTAGAAGACAGCAAGAAATGTATGTAAAAAAATGATCTGTTTCTTAACACACATTGTATTGATGTAATAATATCCGCATACCAGCCAAGAGTGAGCAAATTAAATTCCGTAAGTGAAAAATTCCATGCAATATTCACATTTTAGTAATATGTATATGTATTCATGAACAACTCGTATTCTGTGTACATGTTACCGGTGAATGATTTAAATTGCGCACATATATGTGCCGATATACATGTGTGTATGTATGTATGTATACAAGTGTTAGTGTGCATGTACAAACCACATAGTGTGCACATCATAATACATGGACGCGCGCACATGCAGCCTGTGCGCATTCTACACACGTGTAAATTGTGGTCTCCACGTGCCTCCCGTCCAGGTACCGGCTGAGGGTGGGAGCCTGGAGCGAGTGCCTTCCAGTGTCCGAGTCCAGGATAGCACGGCGCTCCGTGCCACAGGTGCGGTGGGCTTTGCAAGCGTCGAGGAAGCGGCCGCGGAGGAGCTCGGTGTCGTGGGGGCCCGAGGAGGCCGGCGGGGAGCCCGACGAGGGGCAGGCGTGGGACGTGCGGCTCGGGGCTCACGCGCGCGACCTGTCATGCCTGTCTCGCCTGGGAGAGCACGTTGATCTCGTGTGAGTAATCAATTTCATTAATTGCTTCATTTTCTTTCATTTGGTATGCGTGCAATGCTCTTACGAAGGTGCTGTGGGGGGGGGTGGCACGTGCCCCCCAAATGATCCGATCGAAATCCATAATTTCGATCGGATCATTGGGGTTTATTAGTAATAAATTGGCATTTTGCGATCCCCACTGCCACTGTGTCGCACATTATTATGTGCCAGGGACTCTATGAGATGACAGGACAAAAGCAGTTATAAGTGACTCACAGAATTGTGCGCAGTTGCGTATACAGTCCACGACTTCCCTGAAGGCATTCGCCTTCAGCGAGCGCGATGCTGATCACAAAACGCAGTTCGAATTCGACCCTCAATCGATGGCTGCGCCATCGCCGCACACGCGTCGAATAAAAAGCAAGGGACAAGTCCTTACTAACAACTCCTATCATTTTTCATTGCTGGAGGGGTTGCCCCCCCTCCCTGAAAATCCTGGTTCCGCCATTGAGTATATCCTACCAGTTGGGGAGGGGGGGGGGGTGATGTTGCTCTGTGGTTTTAAACCAATTAAGCAGTTTGTGAGTAATTTTCACATTTTGGACTGCGATGTCAGCACAAATGGCTTCCTCTTATTGCAAACAATACCACGGGCATTTAATGTCACTGTCAAGCAAATAACACGTGTTCATGGTTAACACCCACAGTATTAACCATGACAAACACAGGGTTCAAACCGCACACCTCTGCAACATAACAGCAAATGTCCCATGTCACCGCCTTGTCCTCCCCACCGCAGCACGATTTGTTCTCTTTAAAGACCGTCTGGAAGTAGCTACACTGATTTATTGCTTGATTACTTAATGGATTGATTGCTCTTATTTAAACCAGGTGGCAGGTCAGTGAGTTCAGGTACATTTTGTAATGGTTAAAAGAACAGACTTGTTTCGAACTACAGGACATTGAATGCAATTGAATGTATAGTCATTTAAAAACGTTTATGATATAAACATGTTTGACTAACACATGACATCGATTATCATCCTCACCTGTCATTGTCCACGATAACAGGAGTGGTGTTAATAGAAACTTGTCAGCCTCATCACCATTGTCATCAGTTATCCAGAATTTTTATCTCCGTTCTCTGAGAAAGATCAGTCAATTTGAAGTCCAGTCCATGTTTTGCACACTCGAAATGAGGGAGGTGGGCAGGTGCTCCAAATCGAGGGCAAACACATTTATTGTGGTCAATCTGTAAAATGCAACACCACGTGTGTCACACACAGCAATCCTCAACCGAGTCACCATTAACCACGTGACTGGTGTACAAGTCCGGTTCATCAATAGCAGTTTCTCTTAAACCCAATTCTACTACTGATAAACGATCTTTGTCTTTGACAATAACCGTTGCACTTTACTATTCGAATATTACTTTAATCCTAAGCTGTATGTCTATCTATACCATGCACTTATATCGGTATCTTACACCCATTATCTGTACTGTATGTTTACAGTATACGTACTGTACTTGTCACCATTGTACATGTGTTCTATTCTCAATAGCATTGCAAGTAGTCATACTCTGGGTGCATGGGCATTGTCTCAGCCTTGCTGTGGCTTGCATTGCATCACTATCCGAGTAATTAACCTCGCATTCAATACATTTTCAGAGCCAGGGTGAACATCCAACTCCAACGTATTTAATGCATTGAACGAGGTAAAACTGATGGATAAACAGCACAAAATACAGCATCTGTTAATATTTGCAATATTGATACAATTAATGAACGCAAGGAGCATCATAACATTGTCTTAGATAACATTAAACTCAACAATAGGTCCTGGATGGACCAGGCACCTACATTAGCACTGAATAGCTACACAAGAGAATAAGCTACTGTGTTAAAAAGGTCACATCGTGTAATCACCATACTGCAGCCTAAATGTACAGTGCTGCACATAACACTGACCTGTGGATGAGTTACTTATTCATCCTTGCTCTGAAGATCGCATAAAATTTCGATTTAAAGCTTTCGTGACTGCAATGATTCATCTTCTTTGGTTCTTTCGGTAAAGTCACGTAGAATGAGAATAAAATAATAAATTGATAAAATAAAATAACACAATAATATTCTCACGACGTTTCGGCCACAACACAAGCGGCGTTCATCAGGTGAAGGGACGAGACTGTCTGGTAGGACAGCCCTGGAGTGAAAGAGCCACGTTCAGATCACGACCTTTAAGCTGTGTGAGAGGAAACAAAGCTCCTTGACAAAGGAATTAGCATATAATTTAGCATTGAAATGGCTGAGTGATTAGCTTGTGACTGGTCACAGAAATAGCTATGTTAAAAGTTAAAGCATACACATCCGCAGAGGCACCCCTTGATAAAGGAATTAGCATAGAATTTAGCATTGAAATAGCTAAGTTAAAGCATACACATCCGCAGAGGCACCCCTTGACAAAGGAATTAGCATAGAATTTAGCATTGAAATAGCTGAGTGATTAGCTTGTAACTGGTCACAGAAATAGCTACGTTGAAGTCAGAGAATACACATTCACCGAGGCACTTAGTACAAATCAAACAGGAGAATTTAGCATTGAAATAACTAGGCGAATTTAGCATTGAAATAACTGAGTGATTAGCTAGTGACTGGTCACAGAAATGACTATGTTGAAGTCAAGGCCTACACATCTGAGCTATTCACAGTACTATATAGTGAACCAATAAAAAAACTAAAATATAAATTACCTTAATGTTATCAATAAACTCTATATTCTCCAATCAGTTAAGCTACCAACAATAAGTCGTTATATATCACAATGCTATATGGCGAAAAAATGGGTGGATTCTTACCCTCAACTTTAGCACCACGGAGAGCTACGGGCCCCATTCAGACGGACGAGTTCATCCATGGTCGGAACAGAGGAGGGGGAGAGAGACAGCTGCGAGGCGCTATTATACTCCATGTTGTAAACCATACCATTAACCGTGGTGTGAGAGGTATTAAGAGTCAATGCTGGCGAAAGAGCTGCGGTCTGAAGGTCATCGTAAAATACAATTAATTAAGAACATAAATGGTTTAAAACATCTTTCCAATGGTTACTAATCCAGACTGCCACTCTACGCCCGACCTTATGGAAGAAGTACGTTGATGACACCTTTGTCGTTGCACTCAAGGGCTTGAGTCACATCTCTGCAGACGTAGCAAGATCTGAAATCACTGCAACCCTCAAAAACGCTAAGTTGCCACCCAGCAACATCAGCAAAGACGAACATTTTTAATTATCTCAATTAAAAAAAGAGGGATGATATTGTCGTCCTCTCAGCCGACAAGGGCAATGCCACTGTCATCATGGACAAAACAGAATATAACAACAAAATTCAAGAACTACTCAACGATGGCAGCTATACAAAAATAAAACGAGATCCCACCAACAGCCTGGTCACCAAAACGAACAAAATCATCTCTGATTCAACAGCATTAATTGATGAGATCAAACAGTTCTCGTTGAAATCCTCTGCTGCCAGACCACCAAGATTATATGGCCTTCCAAAGATACACCCCTTCGTCCCATCGTCTCTACTATCAACTCCCCCACATACAAACTGGCACGTTTTCTTGCTGATATACTGCGACCTTTCACTGGAAAAACCACCTCTGCGGTACTAAATTCTACTCACCTGGTATCGACAATCAAAGGCATTTCCCTGTCCCCAGACGACCTGCTTGTCAGTTTTGATGTGGTGTCCTTGTTCACCAAAGTCCCGGTACCTGACACCATCGCTATCATTGAAGACCTGGTTCATCAAGGACATTGCTTAACCAACACATACTTCACCTGGAATGGAACTTTCTACAAACAAACTGAGGGCACCCCAATGGGCTCCCCCCTATCTCCGGTTGTAGCCAACGTATTCATGGAAAAATTTGAAACTGACGCCATCCAGACTGCCACTCTACGCCCAACCTTATGGAAGAGGTACATTGATGACACCTTTGTCATCTGGCCACATGGCCAGCCTGCTCTAGACCAATTCCACGACCACATCAATTCCATACACCCAGCCATCAGATTTACCATGGAGGTCGAAAAAGATGGCAAACTACCCTTTTTTGATGTCTTAATTAAAAGGAGACATGATGGTTCAATGAGCCACTCTGTCTACAGGAAAGCTACCCATACAGATGCTTACTTGAAACCGGATTCGCACCACCATCCATCCCAGAAGAACTCCCTCATCAAGACTCTATACCATAGAGCCCAATGCATTTCCGACCAGGAACACATTACCAGTGAACTCAAGCACGTACACCAGGCTCTCAGGGCTAATGGTTACTCCGACTACACAATCCGCAAAGCCATCACTCCAGTCATGAAGAAGGATCCTCTTGTGGAGCCACTCAAAACCATCACCTTACCCTACATTGCAGGGGTCACTAAGAAGATCTCCAAAATCCTGAATAAACACAAGATCCAGGTCCGATTCAACACAGTACATAAAATCCGTGATTTAGTTCCATCTGTAAAAGATGCTGTTCCAGACATACAGTACCCGGGCGTTTACAAACTAAAGTGCCACTGTGGTAGTAGCTACATTGGAGAAACCAAACGACATATCTCGGACCGCATCCGCGAACATAAAGCAGACTTGAAACACGGTAGGACGAACTCCTCTGCCGTGGCAGATCACTGTTATAATTCAGTGGGCTCACATGACATTGACTTCTCCAAGACGGAGGTTCTTTGCAAACCAACCGGCTACCATGAGAGATTCGTTCATGAGGCCATTCACATATACAAGCACAGAGACAATTTCAACCGAGAAGATAGATTCTGGCTTAGTAACCATTGGAAAGATGTTTTAAACCATTTCTGTTCTTAATTAATTGTATTTTACTATGACCTTCAGACCGCAGCTCTTTCGCCATCATTGACTCTTAATACCTCTCACACCACGGTTAATGGTATGGTTTACAACATGGAGTATAATAGCGCCTCGCAGCTGTCTCTCTCCC